AGTATGGATGCAAAAAGACAGGTAGGCTCAGTTAAGGTAAAGGTTGACCTTGTCAGTGAAGATACTGGCCTAGGATTTAACTGCCCACCATAACTGCTTTTAGTTAAAAGTTTAATTTCAGACCATCCTTTGTCGTTACTTTAGGTCTCTGAGTCTGCAAAACTGCCATGCAGGCCTCTCCTGAGCTTGTCAGGTCAGCATGTGGCCCCTTTCGTCCACAACACCCACTCGCAGAATATGAGAAATTCCAATTTCTCCACAACCTCACCAACGCTTGTATTACCCATCTCCGTTATCTGGCCATCCTAGTGGGTATGAAGTGGTTGTGTATTTCCCTAATGGCTGTTAGGTCGGAGGGAAATCCAGGAGCCAATGCAAGGTAGATGGTGACACAGATCCCTTCCTGGAACCCGTAACAGACCAGTGCACCAGACAGATGGCGACACAGATACTGATTCTTTCCTGGAACCCATGATGGACCTGCATGCATGGGAGACTCCCACAGCTCAGGCTCCCCCGCCCTCACTGAATGGCCTGACTCCCAGAGGGTACCACCTCTCAAGAGGCCGAGCTCATCGCGCTGACCCGCGCCCTACATCTGGCCAAAGGGAGGAGGGTAAAAATATATACAGACTCCAAATATTCCTTTCTGATAGCCCATTGCCACGTGGTTATCTGGAGGGAGAAGGGCTTTCTCTCCACTAAAAGGCTCACCTATTATCAATGCTAGACTCATAACCCCCTTACTTGATGCCTTACAGCTTCCCTCCCAGGTAGCCATCATGCACTGCCGAGGCCATCAGACTGACTCTTCACTGGTTACGCGGGGAAATGCCCCAGCAGACACGGTGGCCAGAGGCTTAACTCAGGGTGAAGGGCCCCCAGCTCCGGTCCTATTCCTTTCCCTTCCCTCCATTATTCCCCAATATACAGAAGAAGAGAAAAATAAACTCCTGCAGCGGGGAGGCTCTCCCGGTCCTGAGGGATGGATCTTTATAAATAACAAAATCGCCCTCCCTTGCGCCCAGGCAGGGGCCATTGCCCAACAGATCCACCGGTCTTTGCACGGTGGACCACTGGCACTTTGGAGGTTCCTCGAACCCCTCTTCACCTGGCCCACACTGCAAGAGGCGATCACGAGTGCCTGCTCCTCCTGCCCCACGTGTGCGGCTGTCTCACCCCAGGGAGGAATGTGCCCCAACTTTCCACCCATCAAATGAGGAGACACCTCCCAGGGCAGGACTGGCAGGTAGACTTCACCCATATGCCTCCCCACAAGAAGACCAAGTATCCCCTTACCATGGTAGACACCCTGACAGGGTGGGTAGAGGCCTTTCCCACCCACAAGGAAACTGCTGAAGTGGTGGCTGAGACCCTAATAACACACATAATCCCAAGGTTCGGCCTCCCCACCTCCATTCAATCAGACGACGGCCCAGCTTTT